CCACACAAAATAAATTTTCTATTAAATATGGTCTGTTCCAGAACAAGAAACTACAATTTTTTGCATTTTTTTTCTTTTATAGAGGAAAGAAATGTCAATTGAAAAATTTTATAAAGAATTTCATATTTTCATAGAACAAGAATTCAGCCCCACTATTACTTGTGAAGAAATTTATATCAATCGTTTTTTTTGCCGTTTTGATTTTCTTTTGATTCAATGCTGTGTTTTTATCTAAAAATCTGGAAAATTAGCCATTAAAAGTGCGCCCATGCGTTAAAAATTTGTTTCGTTTTTATTTTCAAATGGATTTTAGTTAACATTTAGTAAATAAAGTAATTTGCCGAATTATAAATCTTCTTTTTTCTTCACTCACTGTTGCACTTAAATCCTGAGCAATATTTTAAAGCAACAAAAACATTCAAAATACTTCAGCAAAACATTTAATATAGCATTTTCAGATTAAATGAAACCTTTTGCAATTCAAATGAATCTTTTTGCAGCGGGAATGAAACCTTTTGCAGTGGAATTGAAACCTTTTGCAGTGGAAATGAAACCTTTTGCAGTGGGAATGAAACCTTTTGCAACCGAAATGAAACCTTTTGCAACCGAAATGAAACCATTTGCAACCGAAATGAAACTTTTTGCAAATCAAATGAAACTTTTAAATTTATAGAAGGAAAAATAACAAAACATTTATATTTTTAGTAGTTTTTAAATTAAATCAATTAATTATAACTAATATATTGACAAAGAGGATTTTTTATTGATTATAAATATCTACATTTATTTATATTATTTCTTAAATTTTCAATTATTGTAATAAAAAATGGTTCTTTATTGATTTGATATAAAATGCTTCAATATTATTAAATTCCAAATGCTTAACGCTAAAAAGAGAAATTTAAACAAATTTTGGCCTTTATAGGTATGGCCAGGACTGAAATGTGAAATTAAGCTTTACCACAATTTTTTATAGTTATAGTATACTATTAATCTTTCCTAATAAAGGATTCCCGCTTCGCAGCTTTATTGATTATGGAGATAAAGTAGTCGTGATTTCAGTAGACAGAGAAGTGGAAATCATTAAATCAACTATGATCATGATTGTATATACTTTATGGGGTCTACGACTAATATTTAGAGGTGTTACAAACTGAATGACAAATTTAATATATCCTCCTTTCCATGGAGGAGATTATAAAAAGGTACCTAATTCGGGTCCTTTGAAAAAAATACCTTGAATAACTTTTTTCAATCTTTCTGCATCTACACTTGTGTTTTATGGAAGCTTAAGAAAAAAAATTATAAAAACATAGTTATTAATAATCAATAAAAATTCCTCTTTAACTATATATTAGTTATAATTAGTTTATTTCATTTTAAACCTACTAAAAATAAAAATGTTTTTTATTTTTCATTCTATAAATTTAAAAGTTTCATTTGATTTGCAAAAAGTTTCATTTCGGTTGCAAATGGTTTCATTTCGGTTGCAAAGGGTTTCATTTCAGTTGCAAAAGGTTTCATTCCCGCTGCAAAAGGTTTCATTTCCACTGCAAAAGGTTTCAATTCCACTGCAAAAGGTTTCATTCCCGCTGCAAAAAGATTCATTTGAATTGCAAAAGGTTTCATTTAATCTGAAAATGCTATATTTGCCGTGCATTGTCATAACATTCAACCTCAATTACATATACAACTATAAGTTCTAGTTAACACGACATTTCACTTTCATCAAGCGTATAATCTGCAATTTACTAAATTACAGAGCAAAGCAAAACAAATGAACTACATACCTAAATACATGTGTACAATAATCTGTCATAAATTAATGGATTTATTTGGATTGACTGTCAATCGATTTCAAGTGATTTATGATAATAGTTGCATTTATTGCATTTCTTCCATCTTATGATAATGAGAGTGAAATTCGTCTTTATTCGAAAATATTAAAAACTATTTAAACATTCAAATGCCAAAGTTTGTCAACGTGTTAATGAGAATGTGCAATTATAAAAACAGCCGGGATTTCGACTTTACTTTTCACAAACAGGTATCAAAAAGTGCAATTCTCACGTAGACATACATACACGGTATCTCCATTTCGCATAAATTATCTAGTAATCGAGTTGAATTTTCCCCCTTATTACAACAAAACAATTGTTGTTGATGATTTGCAAACAATTGTAATCGAGTTAAAACTCCATATGTTTGAAAAAAGAAACAAATACAAAATGACAAAAACCTGCCGCGGCGATCCTCTTACGTAAAAAACAACAACAGTAAAGTGTCAATTATTTTTATTCAGGCACAAGTAGTACAAAGAAAAAGCGATAACAATTTCGTTGATATAATCTGCCATAGCATACCTTTAAGATTAGACAATTACTTTGCACACACGCGCAAGACACCCTAATATACACATACACATACACTCAGTTCACAAATTAGCACAATTCCCCTTTGGCATTTATTAACATATAAAGCAATTTGTTTACATTTCCTTTCGCAAATTTACAGCTTCGTGCCTCATCCGTTGTGCCACAACGTGAATTGCACATTGGCAATGGCCGTCGCGATGCTTCTACCAAATCAGATGCTATTTCAAAGGAATATCCAATTGTGGATCATGCCTATGATGCTATTGTAGTAGGTGCCGGTGGTGCTGGTTTGCGTGCTGCTTTCGGCTTGGTAGCTGAGGGCTTCAAAACAGCTGTCATTACAAAATTGTTCCCCACACGTTCACACACCATTGCCGCTCAAGGTGGTATCAATGCCGCTCTGGGTAACATGGAAGAAGATGACTGGAAATGGCACATGTATGACACAGTTAAGGGCTCCGATTGGTTGGGTGATCAAGATGCCATCCATTACATGACCCGCGAAGCCCCCAAGGCTGTCATTGAATTGGAAAATTATGGTATGCCCTTCTCCCGTACACCCGATGGTAAAATCTACCAACGTGCCTTTGGTGGTCAAAGTTTGAAATTTGGCAAGGGTGGTCAAGCCCACAGATGTTGTGCTGTTGCTGACAGGTAAGTGTTGCAAACTCCTTTATCAAATGGCCTTAATTATCTGAATACTCTACAAATTTACAGAACTGGTCACTCTTTGTTGCACACCCTTTACGGTCAATCATTGAGCTACGATTGTAACTATTTCGTTGAATACTTTGCTTTGGATTTGTTGATGGAAAACGGTGAATGCCGCGGTGTTATTGCCTTGAACTTGGAAGATGGTACATTGCATCGTTTCCGTGCCCGCAACACTGTTATGGCCACTGGTGGTTATGGTCGTGCTTACTTCTCCTGCACCTCTGCTCACACTTGCACTGGTGACGGTACTGCCATGGTTGCTCGCCAAGGCCTTCCCTCACAAGATTTGGAATTCGTACAATTCCATCCTACTGGTATTTACGGTGCTGGTTGCCTTATTACCGAAGGTTGCCGTGGTGAAGGCGGTTACCTGGTTAATGCCAAGGGTGAACGTTTCATGGAACGTTATGCTCCTGTAGCTAAAGATTTGGCCTCTCGTGATGTTGTCTCCCGTTCCATGACCATTGAAATTATGGAAGGCCGTGGTGTTGGCCCCGAAAAGGATCATGTCTACTTGCAATTGCATCATTTGCCCCCAGAGCAGTTGGCCCAACGTTTGCCTGGTATCTCCGAAACTGCTATGATCTTCGCTGGTGTCGATGTCACACGTGAACCCATTCCTGTATTGCCTACTGTACATTACAACATGGGTGGTATTCCTACAAACTACAAGGGTCAAGTATTGACCATCGATGCTAACGGCAATGACAAGGTTGTTCCTGGTTTGTATGCTGCTGGTGAATCTGCCTGTTCCTCTGTGCATGGTGCTAACCGTTTGGGTGCTAACTCATTGCTGGATTTGGTTGTCTTTGGACGTGCCTGCGCCAAGACCATTGCCGAAGAAAACAAACCTGGTGCCACACCACCATCCCTTAAAGATGTAAGAATTTCGTTTGAGTAACAATTGTTTTTCTTTAACTTCAGAAATGCCTTTTTCTATCTTCAGAATGCTGGTGAAATGTCTGTTGCCAACTTGGATAAATTGCGTCATGCCAATGGTAGCATCACCACAGCCGATTTGCGCTTGAAAATGCAAAAGACTATGCAACATCATGCTGCTGTCTTCCGTGATGGCCCTGTACTTAAGGAAGGTGTTGAGAAGATGTCTGACATCTATCAACAATTCAAGGATATTAAGGTTGTAGACAAGTAAGTTTTTTCTAAAAGAAAAGAAAACTAAATCAAAGAATATTGTACACTAATGACTTTCTTTTACAGATCCATGGTTTGGAACTCCGATTTGGTTGAAACTTTGGAATTGCAGAACCTTTTGGCCAATGCAAAAATGACCATTGTGGGCGCTGAAAACCGCAAGGAATCCCGTGGTGCTCATGCCCGTGAAGATTTCAAAACTCGCATTGATGAATACGACTACAGCAAACCTGTTGATGGTCAACAAAAGAAACCCTTGGACGAACATTGGCGCAAACACACACTCTTGTGGGTCACTGATGAGAAGGGTACCGTCGAAATCAAATACAGACCTGTTATCGATCATACCTTGGATGATACCGTGACAACTGTACCTCCTGCTATTCGCTCGTATTAAAAAGCTGTTTGGAAAACTTTATTTTTTTGAAATTTCCTCCTATGTCCCTCCTTCTTTTGTATAAGTTTAATATAAAAATACGAGATACTAAGAACACATACACACAAATTTCTATTGTCTACAACTGAGCTAATTTTCTTTATTTTTTTTTAAATAGAAAACGACAACAAACAAATCTGCGCTTTGTTTTTACCAGCTTTCTGGGTTCCTTCCAGCTAGATTTTTTTGTTATCAGATTTTGTTTTTGTTTTATTTATTAAAAAAATGTATTTTCGTTCTACTTCCTTGAGAATCCTTTTTAATATTCTGACGCGAAAAAAGTTGTAGTTGTAAATTTTTAAAAAAGAAATACAATAAATGAATGATATTTAAACTATTTTTGCTGTATTTTTTCTTAATGTATGTACATATTTAAAGTCAGTCATAGAAACATAAAGATATTATTATGGAAATTAACTATTTTTGGGTAAATATAACGAACGGACAAGTTTACAACATCAGCACTTTAAAACAACAGCTTATGTTAAATAACAATTGCGAATACGCAAATTGTATAGACCTGTTAGAAAGTAAATAAATTCTCCTTTGGAAATTCCAATTTCTGCAAAATGTCCTCCACTTTTTGATTAAAGCCAGATGGTCCACACGATGCAATAAAAGTTATTTTATCGGTTTTCGTTTTATCCACTAAAGGTTCTAGTATTTCCAATGATACATGACCCTTTAGTCCAGTCCAACTGTCACCAGAGTTCGACAAAACATTAGTAAATTCAAATCTAAAAATAAAACTTACTAGTGCGACGCTGAAAATGAAATGTAAATGTTATAACTTACCTCTCATCTTCCTTCGCCATGTTGGAAAGTGCATCGCAGCACCAAATATCCTCTACCGTTTTATTGAAATACAAGAGTTTTAAAAGTTCTCTAAAAGATGGAAATTTGTTAATAAATCGTATGCAATAAAATTTTTAGAAACCTTACATTCTATTGGTATTTCTTTTCAACAGATGATCAATAAGCGAGAGAAAAGGCGTTATACCACTGCCAGCAGCAAGGAAACAAATGCCTCGATGACCAGCCAGTTGGGCTAATTTGAAGTTACCTTTAGGTATAGAAACCTTCAACGATGCATCATTTCCAGTCGCACTTAGATGCCCGGAGAAACTATTAGGATATGAATATTTTTTTATTAGAAAATCTAATGTATACATTTTCAAAACACAATTATTGTCCTGGTTAAGATCCCTTAGATATTTACTGGGAACTGGCGTATAACATTTACTCAAATTCCTTGAGTTTATTTGACATTCAAGCGAAACATGATATCCCAGCGGTAGAGTACAAATCACGTTAGGATTATTCAGCAAAAGAACAAAGGTATTATGATTATACTGATGCTGTTGAGATGTTTTAAAATCCAGTAACAAATCATTTTCCACGGAATTTCTTAGCATTTTTTTCACTTGATGTTTTCCTAACTGTGGCCATATATCTTTGTTGGCATCAGGTTTCTCGAAACAAATTTCAATTTTTCCACTTTCTCTATTAATTTTCACGTCCTTTGGCGGCCATTCTACCTCAGAGTGTAAATCAAAGTCAAATTTATGTAAATAGGTGTCTATTAATATCCAAATTTCAACATGATTATCTGGTTGATCAGGAACTTTTCGTATTAAGGAACCAGGATTGCAAAACTGTTTTGTATAGAAGTAAATGGTTATACTATTTCGATTTTGTATCCAATCTAATCGTGGCAGAATGTCTTGTGATGCAGGTGGTAATGGCGGTTTTGCAAATTTGGGAGATAGCTTTGTGGATAAAGAGTCTGTGGTTTCTTCTACAATTTTCTCCACTTTTTTTGAATGTTTTAGGGGACCAATTACACATTTATTAAGTAGCTGTTGATAGTTCACCCAAGCATGTACTTCATTGAAAAGTTTTGTAGCATCTTTACCCACACCACGCATCAATTCATCGACGCCTTTAAATGAATTAAACCATTAGCAAATGTTACATGAGTTTTAAAATATGCTTACCTCCAGGATGGAAGTCCATATATCGTGTTACATTATATACCACACCTCGTATTGCCATCCAGGCATCATTCCTGGTATTGTGCTTTGAAAGTTCTTCTGGCGTTACCGGTATTATACGTCCTTGGGTACCGGATAGATCAACCCCAGAATTGCCCAAACGTATCCAATCCATTAATGAATGCCCCGGTTTTAGGGCACATTTATTACGGGGATTGCCAGTTGCAGAGCCACTTCCATTATTTGGTGGTGTCGTTTGCGGAATCATTAGGGAAGCCGTTGAAGATGGTGGTAGAAGATTATTCTTCGACATATTGCTGGATTGCGGTTACTTGAGTGGCTACCTTTGCCCTCAATAGCTACACAAATGTAGCTAGAACTGGCTAAATAAGGATCCAAATTTTTAGGGACCAACAGATCGAAAAAGAAGGCCTTCAGGGCTTAGCAGGTCGAAAGCCAACCATGAGCTGGAGTTCACAGAGTTCACCAGATCTAAAACTGGAATTCCTTGCAGGGTTTTAAAAATCGGTCCATCTAAACATAAACAGCTGTTTTTCATATTAAGGGAAAATTTTTTGCCATGCGGTAGGAGTTGCCAAGGTCTTCATACCTCCTGTCGGTGCGGTAAACAATCACAGCTGTTATAAGAATAGGTGTCTATAAATTATGGTATACGGATGATTACCTGTACACTCAGGTCTTTTTTTTTCAGAAAAAAGATTGTAACAGACCTACCGGTACAGCTCTAGTTTAATAAAAAACTCTTGGACTTTTTTGTAATATTTACCAAAGGTAAGTATTTGTACCCTAATTTCAGTAAATCGGTTTTGTAGATTCGGGTCGTGAACCAAGATTTCGGGTCAAAAATCCGAGTACTCCGGTCCTTCCCCCAAGAAAAACATACTTTTCCGGAAAGAGGAAACAAATACTTAGCTTTGCAAAAAAAAAAATCTGAAAGTTTTGATATCTTGTTTGTAAATTCCAGCCACACATTTGAAGTAATTCCGTTTAAAAAAATAGCCATAATCATCAAAATGTCGTACAAAAATATCGACCCATATGGACAATTTTGCAGTAGTATGCGGCACCTATTGGAAACTTATTACACCCATTTTAAAATAATCTCACAAAAAAGTGTGACTACAATTATAAAAGTATCCAATGCCGATAAGTGTGGTCTATATCAAAACTTGGATTTATATGGAAAGTTCTTTATAATTCCTGTGACTGGGAACAAAAAGTGCAAACTTACATAAGAATCAGTTGAAGACTATGACTAAAACTCCCCAAGAAAGCGTCAATCTGTAACGTTACGTAGGCTAGGTTAGGTTAAAGGATGGGAGGTTGTTTAAAAACACAACCACTCCACACTCGCTTACCCAGTAGCCTCTGTCTGACACCAGAAAGATTGGACAGTGGTAGAGTAAGTGCTCCACCGTTTCGGTTTCATCTTCGTATTCGGTGTCACCCCCACTTTGAAATCATGGCCCTAATGTTGCAGTGACCTGTTATTAGGCCCACCATAAGCTTTAGGTCAGATTTCGTCAGGGAGATGAGTGACGTTGATATCCGTTCAGAGATCACTGGCCATATTTTTTGGAGATATTACATCTCCTTCCAATCAATCAATTCTGATTAAATCTCCGAAGGTATTGATTATGTAATACTTGGAAGAAGTGACACAACGGTGGGTTCACTGAGCTATCGATCTCTAAATCTACCGCCTCCCCAATTCATCTGCTGATTCATTCAGTTTGACAGATGTCTTAAACTTTTCCAAAGCATTTCTCCATTCCAAAGCAACCATTGACTTGATTGTAACAGAATTAAGGGTCTAAGTACATAAGAAGCTTGAAGTCATGGCTAGGCATTTTTTGTGACATTTCATAAAGGGATTACAGAGCCGCACTAAAATCATCCCGTAGTTTTCCATTACAATTTGACATTAATATGCCTAGCCATGACTTCAAGCTTGTTATGTACTTGCACCTTAAGGCTGGAAATATATAAAGAGCATATTTGGCTGGCTTAAGTCATCGGCCAGCTCATCGTTAACTTAGTTCGATTTTGAATTCCCACCTTTAGATTCTATGAATTTTGCATATCCAATATCAAAGAGGAAAAATCGGATATTGTGAGTCTCTAAACAATTTTCAAATGCTTATATTTTCGGTAATTAATAAAATTCGCCGGTAAGAAAGCGACGAAGGTAAGGTGTTTTTTACATGAAAATTTTACTTTTGAATGATACCGATCCAGAGACAAACAGATGCTCTATTCCAGTACCTTCAAGAATCTATTATTTTTGCAATTTTCTTCGATATCATAAAGGCAAAATCGGTTATGGTAGTAAAAATTTTTAGATTCTTGCATTTCTGGAACATACCAAGAGAATCCCATTAATGGGCAAGGTAATTGGTTTTTAGAAACATTAACCTTTCATCGTTGCATTTTCTGCCATTTTTGTTATAAATAACATAACACAGAAGGAGTTAACAGTACCAGCTTTTTTCGATTTCCATTTCCCTAATCTCTTTCTCCAACAAACTTGGACTTGCTGCAAATAAACTTGCTTAATGTAAATTCGGCCTAACTTGAACTTATATATCCCTGTTTTGTTATTGTTTGCCGTTGAAAGTTTAATTAACTTTCGTTCGCATTCTCTCTTTTTGTTTAAAACATTCAGTATTGTTTTAGCTGCCGGTGCGAAGTGTAAGTTTGTGTAAAGCATTCTCGAAAGAAGCAAATAAAGATTAGCAAAATACGAATTTTGGAAAGAAAATGAAATAATTACGTGTTAAAAAATTATCCATTGTTGTGTTGTAGTGGTGTTACCACCGAATGATGTGTGTTCAAAGAATAAAATTTGTTTATAGTATGAAGTCATGATGTGGATAAAATTGCGTTTTCAAAGTTACATACGTGGAAATGGAAAATGCGAAAAAGTCCTTGAAAATTGCGGGCGTTCTTATAACAATTAACAAAGTATAGTTTCCCAATTTTGCATTAACAACTACAACAATTAGTCATACAATTCAAGTAAAGACAGAAAGATGCAACAACTAGTTTATCACCATGCAAAACATGTTACCAAATAATGGGCGATGGCTCTCCCCCTGTTTTGTTATATTCATTAAATATTGATGTTCCCTAATGTTGTATCAACAGTAAACATGTATATTACGTAAGAAGAATAATAATTGACTGTTTTCTGGATTCTATAAACGTTTGTTGTTTATATTGCAAACATTTCACAATAAATCAAACGAGCGATGTTCATTTGGGATTAGAGCTTGCAGTTTAGTCATTTTGTATCCAAATGTGCCGGTGACGAGTGACAAGTTAATATCATCAAATATTTATCTCCCCTTTTGTACTTGTGGTTCAAAATTTTCCAATGGGAATTTAAATAATAAAGTCTCATGGGTTGGAGTTTATTCACTCTATCGACTTCGTGTTCGTAAGACAATCGACTTTGGATTCGTAGACAAAGTAAATATCCGATCCAATCAATAATCTCTAGTCCAAAGCTATTCCAGACTTCGTTCTAATATACTGAAACCTCCAATGCCAACAAAACATAAAAAACACTATTTAGAACGATTGACTAGTTAAGATCCCACAAAGTATATATATTCTAGATCAGCATAAATTCTATGTCGATTTAGCAATGTCCGTCCGTCCGTACGTCTGTGGAAATCACTCTAGTTTCCGAACAAAATGAAGTAGATTGATAAAATTTTACTCAAATGTATATTATGTCTGCAGGACTTTTGGTATTGAAAATGGGACATGTAGGTCAAGGTTTTGGTATAGCCCCCATATAACGGTACCTCACGATATTCGGTATTTTGATGATTTTAGCGATGTTATTCACCGGAATTGTTTCAAATTTGATATTTGAAGTTCGAAATAGGTACTACAGCCTAAGACAGAAAGTTGTCTGGGCAGGTCCACGTCTTCGTATAGCCCCCATATAACGGTACCTCCCAATATTCGGTATTTTGATGATTTTACCTACATTATTCACCGATTTCGCATTTGAATATTGTGCTTGCTTATGACAAAAGTTACCTATGCAGGTCCATGTCGTCGTATAGACCCTAAAATAACAACTACACTCGGTATATTTAGGGTTTTAACTGAATTTTTAACGGATTTTATTGTTTTTGAGCATTGCCAAATTCGTTCCAAATGGTTCGGCCCGGCCGAAATTACAGCTTTTTTACTTTTTAAAGTACTTTTCGCACTTATTCTTAACCTCTTTATAAAATTTATTCCCAAAATTTGTTTGAATAAACTTATTTAGTTTTACATCTTTGCGTTATTTTTCTAATTTGACTATGAGTTAATGAAGAATTAAAGAAACAGAAACATATTAATATATGATGTCATTCTTTGATAAAATATTCGATTAGAAATAGAATACTATGTATCTACTGTATATATTTATGGCAATACAACACGATTTGATAAATTCTTTGTTTGAAAGAGAAATGTTTTGTTTAAAAGAAATGTTTTGCAATTAAATGTAGCGATAAATATTGAAAAATTTATTGTGTCTCTCCCTGTTGCACTCGAAAAGCAATTACTTTCCATTTATTAATGGATATGGTGTCCTTTCTAACCCTTTAATTAAGGATTGAGAATCAAATAGCATTAAAAAATATACTATAATTAATATAGGCAGATAAGATTGCTAAAGTTTTCCATTTACCAACAATATTGAAAATGAAATGATTAAACAATGGAAATGTGTGTTATAATAGATAAAAAAAACCACATATTCTAATAACATTTGAATGCTTATACCTAGCGTGTCAGTTAACAAGTTTTGTTCTTGTTTCACTGTGTTTTTTTTTTTGCAAAGCAGGAAGCTTTTGGTGGCATTATGTCCATGTGGAAATAAATGCATGATTCCAAACACACGAAAAACTTTATTTGATAGACGTTATCATATACCCATACCCCAAAGTTTTATTGTAAATATCAAAATGCCAGTAAATGATAAATAGAACCAAATAAACCATGTTCTGTCTGTTCTGTTGTGTTATTAGTCATATATTGAAAGGTACGCGGTACGTCGTAATGGAATCGGCTGGGGTTGGTGTATCGTAAATATATCTGTATTTGTATTTTTTATAGAATCCCTTTGTTCAAGGCAAGTGTTGATTGTTCAAGGCATTTAATTGTTGATCAAATTAATTTTGCAATGAAAAATAATACATTTTATCACAAAAATAATAAGTAATTTGATTTGAGATTTACTTATGTTCCTTGTTTATTTTGAACTTTGAACGCTGGGGTAAATGACATGCCCCCCTATCCTATAACCCGCTATCTTGAACTTCAAATACATGCTGTTATCATTTCTATTTTTATTGATTAAATATGTTAAAATTTATGAACTTAACGATTAGCTGTTGCTATCATCTATAACCAAAAGCATTTGCATGCAAATGTTTCCATTTCAAACTGCTAGTCAATCAATAAAAGTATTCAAGTATTAGCTGATTAGTTCAGCTATCAACAACAACAAAATTTGAAAATTTTCTCAACAGTATTGGAATATTTTTTTAAACATCTATATATATAAAAATCAATTGTTGTTTGTTGGTAACGGAATCAGTTGAAAACGGCTGGACCGATTTGCATAATTTTTTGTAAAAACTTTCGTCATACCCCGAGTTAGGTTTTTAAAGAAAAAAATATAGACCACGCCCACTTTTGCGCCCACAATTTTGATTTATCTAAAATCCTTAAATTTCCCAATATAGAGGAGATATCGTTTTGAAAATTATTGCACGAGATACTGTTGACTTTCCATCCCCCTCTAAGTATTTATTTGGGGCTGAGGAACTGTCGTTGTCAGTACTTTTTAATCTATATATATAAAAATCAATTGTTGTTTGTTGGTAACGGAATCAGTTGAAAACGGCTGGACCGATTTGCATAATTTTTTGTAAAAACTTTCGTCATACCCCGAGTTAGGTTTTTAAAGAAAAAAATATAGACCACGCCCACTTTTGCGCCCACAATTTTGATTTATCTAAAATCCTTAAATTTCCCAATATAGAGGAGATATCGTTTTGAAAATTATTGCACGAGATACTGTTGACTTTCCATCCCCCTCTAAGTATTTATTTGGGGCTGAGGAACTGTCGTTGTCAGTACTTTTTAATCTATATATATAAAAGAAATTTGTGTTAGTTACTACGCTTATAACTTAAGAACCGCTGGACTGATTTTAACGATTCATACAAATTCGGAATTGTCTCCTCTCCGAAAAGGATAATATCCAAAAAAATCGCGTAAAAATGTGATATATTAACATTTTCATTCTGACTTTTGAAATGTACAATAGTAATGTTTTATTTTGCATGATTTTTTCCATTTTGACTTACTTTTTTCTAATGTACATTTGTAGTGTTTTTTATATTTTATTTTTGAATTTGAATATTAATACCAATTTATTTAATTGACTTGATTTCTTGAGAAATGAAACTGATGGCGAGTTACATGGAAGTGTAGTACCGAATTATGTGGTGGCGAAACGGAATAGATGATGTCGAAATAATTTAATGGAATCGAATTTTAAAATAGAAGTACATTCTATTGACAAACTATATATAAGGATCTTTAAACATTTGCTGTAAAAAATCAGCGAACAAGTTGAAGATTTTTTCAATGTGTTATTCTTCTTTTGTCAATTTTTTTCAATTTGTATTATCTAATGAATTCAGTAAATGTGATATATTAACATTTTCATTCTGACTTTTGAAATGTACAATAGTAATGTTTTATTTTGCATGATTTTTTCCATTTTGACTTACTTTTTTCTAATGTACATTTGTAGTGTTTTTTATATTTTATTTTTGAATTTGAATATTAATACCAATTTATTTAATTGACTTGATTTCTTGAGAAATGAAACTGATGGCGAGTTACATGGAAGTGTAGTACCGAATTATGTGGTGGCGAAACGGAATAGATGATGTCGAAATAATTTAATGGAATCGAATTTTAAAATAGAAGTACATTCTATTGACAAACTATATATAAGGATCTTTAAACATTTGCTGTAAAAAATCAGCGAACAAGTTGAAGATTTTTTCAATGTGTTATTCTTCTTTTGTCAATTTTTTTCAATTTGTATTATCTAATGAATTCAGTAATTTTTTTGTGAACAAAATAAAGAATAATTTTTCACTATATACAAATTTTCACCAAAAAATGAAATAAGTGGGAAATACGATGTTAACTGACATCTACCTTTCAACTCCAGGGCCGACATTGTGGTTCAGCTGGAAGATGCGAACACATTTGAACAAACAAAAATTACCGAAAAAGCCTTATGGGGCTCATTTCAAAGCGTGGAACTACTTCTTTCCTGTCACAATAATCAGTCCAATATACATTCAGAAAAATACCAAATAAAAGGGGTGCAAAATAGTAAAGCGAATGGGACTTTTAGTAAGAAAAGGATTTCTATCCTTCCAGAAATTCTTCCCGAACTTTCAAGATACCTTGAATCGCTTTTGCAGGTCATGATATCGATCATATATAACCATCGTGTGATTTAAGCTATTTTTGGGGTCTTCGACACTTTCTTCTATTTTTGGCCCTTATTTGGCATCTTTGTTTCTAAGGGGGTAGAGAACCTCTTCGCATAAAATTTTCGGAGTAGGGCCTATATTGGTCTTGACCACATT